TTGACTAGTTTGGGGGGGTGGGGGTGATTGGTGAAAAGATGTGCTTGTTGTGTGGATTCGAGGCGTTTTTGAAGGACGAGGCCTCACAGACGAGTGTGGCAGAACAATCGAAAGACAGTTTTGTCTGATTTTGATTTGTCGGACATCACTGCAGTGGATGGACAGGAACACAATTGTTGACTCACAGATATTCACATTAACACAATTATTTTCTGATTTATTTCAGATATTTTTAGATTTTTTTTCTTTTTACCCCTTTTCCAGAGCAAGATTTATGAACACGTGATGAAGTCCTTGTTTATTTTGTTACACCACTCGAGGTCACTGCAGGGAATTTGGATGTCTCTTTTATCAACTTTAAAATCAGTAAGATACTGTCAAACAGACATAAAAAACCATTTTCTCCATGTTCTTTAGAATTAAAATGTATAAATCAATGATGAGACGAAAAAGCTTTGAGAATATTAGATAGCAATAAAGCGTGGAGGCCATTCTAATAGAGAGTCCGACACTCTCTCTCTTTTTCGTTTTGATTTTAGTATTTCTGTATTTTTAATTATTTTATTATTTTAACATTAAAAATTATTTATCTGGATTATTTTTCTTAGTTTAATTATCTTTATTATTTAATCCATTTGTACATTTATGTTTTTTAAATTTTTTTTTAATGCTATCTTTATGTTTGTATGTTTATCTTTATACTTTATCTTATCTCTTTCATGTGAAGCACTTTCTTGTCTGAACAATAAAGTTTATTATGAGAATAAAAGCAGCTTCAAAATTGACACAGTGCATAAAAAAAAAAACTATGTATGCCTGCTCAGCATAAGGATGAAGACTTTTATTTTTGACACGTCCTGACATGAGAAGATTAAGCTTTTCAAACACATTGAGCATTTCTCCTTAACAAACTTTAATTTGTGCCTGAACTTCCTGTTTTCTCATCGTTTCGCCTGATGCTGTTTTGACAATTTCACCGTTCGACTGTCAACGAGCTTGCTTTGCGAGGTGATTGCGCGTTTTGACAGCAGCTGTAGATTGGCCGACTCGTCCTGCTGACAATGAATTGTATTTATTTGTCTTTACACCAGTACAAATCTTCCACTTCATGTTTCGCATAAAACTCTTCTCCACTCCTGAATCGGACTCTATGAGTCTCTGACTCAGTGAAATTTCGACTTTTTGAATCTCTGACTCTGAGTCTGTTGACTCTCTGACTCTGACTAAAAAAAGACTGGTGGTGAAATTCACCCTCTCACCTGATGGAGAAGGTTCTTTAAATGCTTTATGAGTTATTCTTTTTTTGCAGTGCCACCCTGTTTTAAACAGTATTTAAGTCAGTTGATATCTGAGTGAGCATCAGTTATGGGATCTGAAGTAAATTTGCATAAACTTTAGATTTATTATGTGCAGTTTATGGATGTGCAGATCAATAACAATATTAACAAACGTCTGTAATGTTTGAATTATGTTTGTTTCCCTGTGTTCCTCAGTGGAGTCAGCAGCCCCAGCTCCTGGCTCCTGACAACTCTCTGGAACGATCCTTGCTTCATCCGGATGAAGTCCACGCTCACAAAGAGAGGAGTGCACATAAGTCCTCAGGATATAAAGGTCAGGCGTGGGAATTAGAAACAGACTGGTGAAAACAACACATACCACCTTAAAGCTCCTCCAGTGTAAAGGTCTGTGTCCCATGTGTAGTGTTGATTATAGATCAGCTCTAGCTTCTATATTAATACTAGTGAAAGTATCAAACCTCAGTCCACAGAGAAATGCACACAGCCTGTATTCAGAAACTGAGCCTTAAAACCAGCCGTCAGGACTATCTGGAACTTTGTGATGTCACAACAAAGCAGACACCAAGCCCCGCCCACCTGGACCCACCATCCAAACCTTGCAGGATTTGTTTATCTTGAGTGTTTTTACCCTGAAATCTGCTTTATTTTTATTGATCACTCAGAAAACAGTCAGCCAATCAGAAGAAGACGGCTCAAAGCCTCCTCTCTTCTGATGGCTCAAGACCTGTTGTTACTAGAGCTGCACAGGAGAAGCCTGAGAGGAGGATGGTGGCCGTGCGTTTACTTTGTCTATTTTAAAAAAAAATACTTCCTCTTTTCCTTCAGAGACGAATCCATCAATGAAGTTGGATGTTTTATTCTCATAGTGTCGTGTGTGGTGTGTGTGTGTGTGTGGTGTGTGTGTGTGTGTGCGTGTGTGTGTGTGTGTGTGCTACCACGTTCCACCTGGCAGACTCAGATCACATGCAAATCACAGTGGAGACGGAGAAGCACATAATATTCACACACACATGCAATATATTACTGCACATATTTCCACTCACTTGACACCATACAGCACTGCAAAACACACACACACACACACACCACACACACAACACAGTGTTACAGTTAGCAGTCTGGAAGAACTCTTGTGTTGCAGCACAGGCCTGAAAGGGAAGAAGCTGAATCAGTCTTCAGAAACATAAATTCACCTTTTACCAAACATGATGATTCTCCACATTCACTTTCAAACAAAGTCCGATCACAGCAAGCTGGAGAAGGCATTTGAAGTGTGTGTGTGTTGTGTGAGTGAGTGTGTCGAGCGAGTTGTGTGTGAGTGAGTGTTTGTGAGCAGTGTGTGAGTCGAGCTAGTGTGTTGTTGAGTGAGTGTGTGAGTGAGTGTGTGCAGTGGAGTGTGTGTGTTGTGATGTGAGTGTGTGAGTGAGTGTGTGAGCGAGTGTGTGTGTGTGAGTGAGAGTGATGTGAGTGAGATGTGTGTGAGTGAGTGTGTGAGTGAGTGTTGTGAGTGAAGTGTGGTGTGTGAGTGAGTGTGTGAGTTGGAGTGTGTGAGCGAAGTGTGTGTGTGTGGTGAGCTGTGTGAGGATGTGTGAGTGAGTGTGTGTGTGTGAGTGAGTGTGTGAGTTGTGTGTGTGTGAGCGAGTGTGTGTGTGTGAGTGAGTGTGTGAGTGAGTGTTGTGAGTGAGTTGTGTGTGTGAGTGAATGTGTGAGCGAGTTGTGTGTTGAGTAGAGTGTGAGTGAGAGTGTGTGAGTGAGTGTGTGATGTAGTGAGTGAGTGTGTGAGTGAGTGTGTGTGGTGTTGTGTGTGTGTGAGTTTGTGAGTGAGTGTGGTGAGCGAGTGGTGTGTGTGTGAGAGAGTGTGTGTGTGTGCTGTTTGCGAGTGAATGTTGAGCGAGTGTGTTGTTGAGGAGTATGTGAGTGAGTGTGTGAGTGGCATGTGTGTGTGTGATGAGTGTGTGAGTGAGTGATGTGGCGAGTGAGTGTTGTGAGTGTGATGTGAGTGTGTGTGTGTGGAGTGAGTGTGTGACGAATGTGTGTGTGTTGATGTTGTGTGTTTGAGTGAGGTGTGACGAATGTGTGTGTTGATGTGTGTGTGTGTGTGAGTGTGTGAGTGAGTGTGTAGCGAGTGTGTGTGTGTGAGTGAGAGTGTGATGAGTGATGGAGCGAGCTGTGAGTTGAGGTGTGTGTGTGTGTGAGTGAGTGAGTGTGTGAAGTGAGGTGTGTGAGTGAGTGTGGGTGTGTGTGTGTAGTGTGTGTGTTGTGTAGTGTGTGAGTGAGTGCGTAGTGAGTGAGTGATGTGTGTTGTGTGTGTGTGTGTGTGTAGTGTGAGTTGTCGTAGAGTGAGTGAGTGTGTGGACGTGATGTGTGTTGTGTGTGTGTGTGTGTGATGTGTGTGTGTGTGTGTGTGTGTGAGTTGTGTGTGTGTGAGTGAGTGAGTGAGTGATTGAGTGAGTGAGTGTGAGTGTGTGTGTGTGTGTGTGTGTGTGTGTGTGTGTGTGTGAGTGATGGTAAGTGTTGTGATGAGTGAGGAAGGAGTGAGTGATGTGTGTGTGTGTGTGTGTGTGTGTGTGTGAGTGAGTGTGTGAGTGAGTGAGTGTGTGTGTGTGTGTGTGTATGTTCTCGGTCAAACTACACAAACAGAAACATTTGACGTGTGTTTGCACAGTCACCATATTGAAAGAATCAGCTGTGACTCTTTTACAATGAGACGTTTTAACTGAAACATTTCACAAACATTAATTAAGTGATTTAAATCTCTTTAATGAGACATTTTTAGACATTTTTTTAATGTTTTAAGAATTTGCATGTCACGTGTTGTGTGTGTGTCAGCTCCGCTCTGACTCACATGCTTGGTAACCCACAGTGAAATGACTGGAGACCCACAGTCAGAGGACAGAGACAGGTTTACGTCTTGGACGAGTTCAGGCGTGAGCCTCGTCTTCCTCTCCTCTTGTTTGACCCTCGTGTCTGTAGAGAAGACACACGCTGTTTAAAGGCGAGTGAGCCGCAGCTGATGAACATTTCTCCTGATCCATCGTGTCTGACAGACTTTAGAAGCTTCACACCAGTTTAAAACTCTGGATAATTAAACCCTTCATTCTCCCTCTGTCTGTCAACTCCTGTGTTTCCACCTTTCCTCTCTCTCTCTCTCTCCATCCCAGGAGTCCGCTCAGAGAACAGCTAAAGAGAGAGAGAGGGGTCAAATCCCCATGAGGTAGCCCTGACTTGACCTTTATCTGTGCTCACTTCTGCTGCCAAATTGAATCTGTGATCGCTGCGACCTCTTCCGGGATTTACAGTATTTCAAACTGGATTCTTTCCTTCATTTGCATAGAAAAAATATATAAGTTAAGTAGAGAAAATTAGACCATAACATAAAGGTTGTGATCCGTTTCAGAGCAGTTACAAGCGCTGGATAATCAGTTATAAATCAGTTTTATTGCACAAACCACAACAAACTGGATTCTGTGATTTGCTGCCGAAGGTCACGTTCAATAAAAAGAAACGTAGAACAACAACACGTAGAGATGAACATATAATAAAAAGTAGAAATATAGGAATGTGTGTCAGTGGTTTAATAGAATAACATGAGGAACGTGTGCACAAGCTTCTGCTTAAATAAAGCTGTGGACATCAGCAGCAGAGGAAATATTACAAACAAGAAAACCCATAAATACACAGAACAGAGGTCACTAAGAGACGGGCCGCGGTCCGGATCCAGACCCAGACGCCGTCCTGTCTGGACCCAGACCTATAACCTGATAAACTAGAATTATTCAGTTTTAATGGAGTCTGTTCGACACTCCGCCACAAATCAGACACACCACTTCTGTATTCTTATGATCTCGCTTTTAATTTACTATACTTTACTTTTATATTTTACTTGATACATTTTTTATTCCCTTTGTTCTTTTTAAACCTTTTTATGTTTTTTAAAAAGCATTTTTTATATTGTTTTATTGCCCCTTATTTCTGCTGCTGTTACCTGTGTTTTATTTTTCTTCTGTAAAGTGCTTTCAACTGCAACTATGTATGAAAGGTGCTTTACAAATAAAGTGTATTATTATTATTATTATTATTATTATTATCATTATTGTTATTACTTCAACCAGTTCCCACAGGTTACTCATTACAAACTCCTCCTTAACCTCTGGCACCACATGTTTTAAACGTCCAGCCTCTGCTCAAAAATTAACATCTCAATGTTAAATGTCTAAATTACTACTGACCATTTCTAGACCGAATTTTATTTCAAAAATACTGGAAAAAAATGTTCTGTCAAAACTGAAACCATTTCTTTTTACTTTTTTCTTTTTTTTTTGAACTTTTTATTCAAGATAAAACAAGACATATAGAAATATATGATTACTCGTGTTTCCCCCGGCCTTGAAGTCAAGAACACACAAACACAGTGTCTGTATAGAAAATCATACAAATAGTAAATTATAATGTATAAATAAATATTTCAATTATATAGGAAATGTAACATTCAAATACTTATGAACATTAATTGTACTAAGTAATATAAATTAATCAAAGATAAAACAGGAAAATGATATAAAGAACAGTCAGTCAAGGGACAAAGTATTCTATGAAGGAGTTCCATTTATGAAAGAATCCCCCCATGAAACATCATCAGGAAACATCATCAGGAAACTTCTCCTGTCACTTCTATGCCGATGACTCACAGCTGTGCCGCCCTTAAATATAAGTAATTATAGAACAACTGTGTTTTGGTGAAGTGGACTTTGAGCTGGTGCAGTGTTCAAGCCGTGACTGAGAGTGTTTCTGAATGATTCACCAACACCTGTGTGACCTTTGAACGGACTCCACCCCGCCCTCTGACCTCCCCTCTGTTTGTCTGTTTCCCTCGTCCAGGTGATCCACATCACAGGGCGTCTGCGGATCCGGATGGCTCTGACGCACAGCCGCTCAGTGCCCAATCAGATCATGGGGATGGTGGTGGTGGCTCACGCCCTCCCACCACCCACAATCAACGAGGTTCGCATCGACTGTCAAATGTTCGTCACCCGAGTCAACATGGACCTGAAGATCGTCTACTGTGAGAACAGGTAGAGGAGGGAACTCACCTGAGGGCTGCTGATTTCTGACGGTTCATTAAGAATTTAAATTCAAATTAAATCTGTGAAGGTCGAAGTTAAAACTAAATTAAAAGTCTCTGTTTAGGCCTTTTTTGTTTTTCACATCAACGTTGTTTGGACTTTCAGTTCAAAAAAAATTCTCTTCACGATTTGAACCATTGTTACACATGAAAATATTTTATATATTAATATATATATTAAATATTGTTATGAAGAAAATAACATGTAATGCCGTGATTAGTGACTTATTATTTTTAATCTCAAGAAAACGAGAAACTAAAGAAGACAGGGACGTCCTCCCTGCTCCAGTGTTAAACACAGTATTCCTGTTGGAAGTGACATATTTTTAGATTTACTTCTTTTTGTAATTCAACTTGAATTTTGTGGTGATTTAATTAAAGTATTCAATTTTTTTAAACCAAATTATTTAGAATTTAATTTAATGAAATATCAAATAAAGACCAGACGGACACAACTTTCAAACATGAACTTAACGTTGTGGATGTTTCAAATTGTTCTGCCATCATGACAATATCACTCTGTATTTCCAGACTCACAGATTACAGTAAACTAAAAGGCTTGACAACTTGTTGGAAGAAATTAAAATCTCTAAAAGAATTGAATTTATTGGATCTTTATCAATAAGGTTTATGTCATGCGTTAATGATCATAATAAAAACTCCAGTATTAGTCAGGTTGTTCGTGATTGTAGATTAATCAATTATCATGCAGCAGTTACATGATAATGTCCCTCCATATGAAGCGGAGCTGCTTTTACAGCTGTCGTATTTCTGATCATTTAATCGACTTCTTTAGAGAAACTGTTTCTACCCATTTTTTTTAAAGCACCAGCGTCACACACAAAACTGCATTTTACGGTCTGTTATCTGCATTCATGTTTCATAGCTGCTGTTCAAGGAAGGAAAAAAAAAAGTTGTCTCCCTTGTTGGAGCTTCTTATTCATGAGGAAGTCTGACCCAATCCTCCCTGGTTTAACAGTGAAATATGTCACTGATGGATCTATCTCCTTCCCTCTGTCCAGATAAAGCAGATAGGCATCAGGATCTGGCTCAGGAGTTAACCGGCCGACCAGGGAGATTCATATCAAGGAAAAAAAACCTTCATGTTTTATTATAAAAAGAGAGGAGGAAAAAATGATAGTAGACAGATTGCTTTTTTTTTTGTGGGTGGAAAAGAGACACAATGCGAGGCAGATGATGATATTCAGTGCGGAGCGACAGAGAGCGTCTCGGCGGCGAACAGACAAACCTCGCTCCCATTACAGCCCCATTTTGAGGATGAGTTTCTAAGAGAATGAGAAAATGGGAGGATGGATTTTTCTAAAGAACAGAGTGTGCTGTTATCTGCCTGCCAGACATTAGTCCCCCCCTCCCTCCCTGCCCCCCCACCACCACCCGTCCTCTATCTGAATGATACCGGGGAAATTGTTCTGTCTATCCTGTGGCAAATTTGTTCAAATTAAACCTTTTAACGCTGATGTGTGTTACCTGTACAACAGACCGACGGGCTTCAGCCTCTGTTGTTGGGTTATTAGCTTTTTCCCTTTCTTCCCTGGATCAGTCTTTTTAATTGTCGAGTACCAGAACTGTACCGAGCTGTGACGAGTTATACATCTCACAGTTTCACAGCACAGCCGCTCGACCAGTGCCACTGTTTGTCCTCCACCAGTCAATAAATACCCTTCACTTAAAGAGGCGCAAACATTTCATTCAGTAGTTCTGCTGTGGCCAGGACAGCAGAGGCTGCTGCCCCAGCGTCATTCAGGAGAACCCTGAGGACTCAAGGGCGTTTCTAAAAGACGTCATGACTCTAATAAAGAGGATTTAGTTGACTTCTTTGTGACTAGATCATCTGCCCCCAAACAGTGTGAACTTTGACCTTCTGCCTCAGTTTTACCTTTCAAAGCACAACCACTGACGTTCCAGCTGCTTTTGACGGAACCTGTAAGCCAGCGGTTCCCAGCCTTCTCCAACTCACGGCCCACATCCGGCCCACATCCGGCCTAGTAACAGTAGGGAGGCCAAATCATGTGTTCTCAGAGTTCACTGAACTAAAACCCGCTCTCTATTTTGATTCTCCTGTTGTTGCCATGGATGTGACCTGTTAGCCACAATCAGACAGTAAACAAGTATACAGTGTGGTCTGACCGGCGACAGCTCCTCATTGGCTCCTCATTCCATCATTGGTTTATCACAGTGACGCCTTAATATGGGGAAGAATTTGTTTTAAAAATGTTAAAATATTATTTATTTTTTTAAGCTATAATTACACCTGTTTTGCAAATGAAAATGAAAAGTAAAAACCAAAGATAAAAGTATTTAAATCAAGAAAAGCTGCTTCATACAGGTGTGTGTTTTGAGTCATGATTTGAACAACAACTCAGCACTTTGTTAAACTTGACGTGCTGCTGAATACAGAATGAAGATGATGGTGGAGCAGGTGTGTCGTGTTTTGATTATCATGTAGACATTTCCTGTATGTGACAGTGTTTCACACGTGTTGCTCCGGTGGTTTCAGAATCAGTGACTACATGGACCTGACTCCTGTCGACATCGTGGGGAAGAGGTGCTACCAGTTCATCCACGCCGAGGACGTGGAGGGAATCAGACAGAGTCACCTGGACTGTGAGTACTGCCACCACCTGACCACATGCTCCACTCTGATTGGACAATGAAGTCAACGCATTCATTACTGAATCATGTCGAAATCAGCAAATGTATTTCTGAATGACAAACAGCTGTTTCTTACCGAATCACAGCGTCGTTTTATTTCTCGTCTGCACCATCTTGTGGCGGACGGATGTAACTGCACACCCTTAGCTAAGCAACCACAGGAAGACATTCATGCTTAAACAAAGACTGTATTAACACTTGATGGACACGTTTTGACATGTTGGACATTTTGTCCCACAGAAAGAGTAAAAGTCTTTAGTATGGACAGTGTCACAGCAGTAACATGTCTCCATTCAGAATCTTTGCTCTGCAGTATCTTTGAAAGTTTCCTCACAGAACTCCACAGTCTTATTACCCTTGTCAGGAGGCATAATACACTCTCTCTCTCTCTCTCTCACACACACACACACACACACACACACACACACACACACACACAGGAGGAGTTTTGGTGTCCCTATTTAGTGGCTGTCTGAGTGATTTGCGGCGTGCTGTTTGTTGCTGCAGTCAGATTTTACTGTGGCGGTAAAAGCTGAGGAGGCGTTGAGCGTTTCACAGTGTGTCGGAGGTTGTGAAGGCATTTAGGCAGGACGCCAAATAACAACAACCACAGAGGAAGGGCAACGGGCCTGATGGGAGTCAGACCACAGACCGCCACAGCTTCTATCAGATCCTGTCCACTGAGGCTGAGACGCACTCGTCCTCTGTCTCGCTTTAAGGTGTGGCGAGCTGCGTTCAGGCATCATGAAGCAGGTGAACTCACCTTGACTCGAGCCTTCAGTGTATGTAGTGGAGTGCTGTCTGTAACAGAACAACCTCACCTCACATCTGGAATACGTCCACATGGGATTTTCTAGAGTTTCCCTGCAAAACACTTCACAACAGTGAATGTTAAAGTTTAAATATGAATACAGCTTGTACTTTTGATTTAATGTTTTGTTTTCCCTTTTTTGTTCTTTTTTGCTCAAAATATATAAACTTGATATTCATTATTGTTTGTACATTTATTTGCTCACTGGCTAGTTTGCTACCTGCAAAGTTACATCCATAAAAACAGTGGCAGAGAAATGGAGGTGATGCTGTTTGAGACGAGCAGCTGGGTTGTTGAGAATCTGTGCTAATATTAGCAAGCTAGGCTAGCTAGCTTCCATTTAGGGGACTAGCACAACACAAGTCGTAAAGAGACCATACAATTCAAATCACTAATATCGTCATTGACAGCTGGTGTGAACTCGTGGACCAGGTCTCAGTTCTCAGTCAACTGATGATGCTAACTCTGAGGCTCGAGGCTAACGCTGCATCAGCACGGTGTTTTAACTTGTGACAAAGCTAAGACATGTCCCACAACTCATCAGAGCATCATGAAGCTCCCTGAAACTTTTTCAATTACCTTCTCCAAAAGTTCCTGAGCTCTGAATATCCAGAGTGGCAATCAGGAAGTGACTCTACAGTGGCCCAGTGGGGTCAGATGGAACGGGGGGGGGGGGTTTAGGATGTGTAAAACACAAAAAAAAAGAGAGAGAGAAGGAAGTGAAATAGGGACGGAGATTATTCCTCTCTGTCTGCAGCGAGGATGGGAGGTCAGGGAGGCGAGCCGGCAGCCAGCGGTTTAAATGACTTGGTTTTAGTCGAGCGTAGTCTAATACAGCACCTTCAGTCACCTCGGCTGCTCGTTTTATTCTTCCTCTTTCAAAATTAATTTCCTCTTTGAAAGGGGGGCTTTCAGAAATGGATGGCTACGAGGCGCTGGAGGTGCTCTGTGTCTTTTCTTTTTTCCTCTCTCTTCATCCTCCCCATCAATTGGAGCGCGGTCAGATTGTTCTGAAATCTGCCTTTCTTTGGGGCGGTTTAATTTGGTGGCTTTATGAACCTGCTGCTGATTGTGTGGAAGCTGATTTCAGAGCAGTGGTCTAATGATTCCCCACTTTTTTTTTCAGCAGACACGTTGAAGCTCTCTTTTCTAATTGGATAGTGACAGATGTGGTTTGTGTTGCGGCTGTGACGGGTTTTAGGTTTGGCTTGAAATGCGATGTGTTCGTGTCTCTGTGTTATTGTTCAGTTTGCACAGTATTTCCTTAAGATTAGATGATCTTTGTTGTCATGGTTACAGTAATGGGAACGTGGTTCAGTTTGTCGAACGATCGCAGATAAAAGATACAACAGTTTATAAACCCGTCCATCCACCAGCACCTCCTCCTGACGTGGACTTTGTCTCTTTATACTACGTCACCGACGCTTCTCCCTTTGCTCCTATCATCATTACTATGACTAGATGTCGCTTAGCAACAAAACCTACCATTATTATGACCTATGAGGTCATAATAATGAGTCTGGATGAAAAGGTGCGCAGTACACCTGGCTGTCATCGTGCGTTTCGTCACGATTCAGCAGTTGGTGTTCAGGTACGACGTGCAGCGATTAAGAAGGGATATAAAAACTGAACATGATCCAGGCAGAATCATCCAGTGGCGCTGTCCTCGTCAGGGCTGGAAAGGAAGGAGGTGACCACAGGTCAAACCAGCTTTCACCCAATCACACTAAACAAACGAAAGTTTTACCTGTTGTGGGCGTCGCCTTGAGACATAACGACACAGTCATCAGGTGGTTGTTGTATTCCTCAGATGTGTGTGAGGATGTTGGAAACGAGCCGCCAGCTGCTTCCTCAACGCTGGTGTGTGACCTGTAATTTATGGTGAAAGTCCAACCTGAGAAACAGCAACAAGAAGCTGAAGTCCAGTTCCTGCTCAAACTGCAGGAAAGTTTCCAGGAAAGTTCCCGTGGTCAGTCGACATAGCTTTTTCTTTGCCATATTTGAATTGAGGCTGGAGTTCTCCGTGTTGTTGTCGAAAAGCTGCAGATCATCAAGTGATTAAAAAAAAAGACTTTCTGCACGTTTCTTTTTCCGTTTCTGCAAAACAGCAGCTTCTGATTTTTTTTTATGTGGGATTTATCTCCACGTCTGCTCTCGGTTCCCCCGCTGCTGCAGGAGTCGGATAGTTAGGGAATCGATCAAGGTGTATTTTAGAGGGATAGCCTGTTCTCTCAACAGGGATCTAAATTTTAAAAGGGTTCTTTTTAAGTGGAGGACGAGGCGTGATCCCTCTCTGTGAAGAGGCATCACTCCCTAAGTCTCTATCATTACCTGCTGACAGCCGGTCTTAGCCCAGGTCAGATCTCAAAGTCAATCTGTCCTCGTTTCCACTCCGAGAACAGAGAGAAAGAGAAAGAGGAGATAGAGGGTGAACTTGTTTTTTTTTCACAAAGAAAGGGAGGGAACAGGAGCGAGTGATTTGAAAGCAGAGAAAGGCTGAAAAGCTGAGAAATACTTGGCGCAAGGGATGAAGACAGAAATTTGTCTTTTCTCAAAGACAGAGAACTAGTGAGTGATTCACAGATGGAGAAAGAGAAAGAGACAGGAAAAAACTAAAAGAGAAAAAAAACTTTTCACAAAGAAAGAAGGATGAGAAAATGTGTTATAAGGTGGAGAAAACTGAGGAGAAGCTATTTTTGAACAGAAAGGGAGGGAAAGGGAAGATGATATGGAAGGAAATGGCTCTAGAGAGAGAGAAGGGCTCACTTTATAGAAATAAAGGAGAAGCGCGTAGAAAGAAACGGCTGCTCGAGAACAAGAAGAAAGAGAAATAGAGATGTTGGCTTCTCATCTTTTCTCCAAGAAGGAAGGATGCAAAGGAAGAGGACGGCAACACCACTGCTACTGGACTGAGTCAGACTTTGACGCAGGAGACCAGAGTTTGTGTCTCGTCACGATCACGAACAAAAGAGAAAGAAAGTTGAGGAGTTTTTTCACCTGGAAAGAGGCGATTAGGAGAGGGAACAGAATAATAACAAGGGAGTGGGAAAAAGAAAAGACGTGGTGGAATAATATATACACTCGTCTGCTCACGAGGAGGAGGAGAGGGGAGGGAGTCGAATGAGGACACAAGGGAAACTGTCTTAATAAGACAAAAGGACTTTTTCAGAGAGAGGAGGAGAGAGAATGAAAAATATTTGTTTGTTTAGAGAAAAACAGGAAAAGAGAGAGAGAGACATTTGGACATGCAGAGAGGGAGAAAAGAGAGAGAATTAGCAACGGAGAAGACAACAGCAAAGAGACACACAGGACGTTTTAGAGAGAGAGACGGTCGAGAGACATCAACACGCAGCAGCAAATGAAAAAGAGAGAGTGAGAGAGTTTCACAGAAGTGAAAGCTCGGTGGATTTAAGCCTGCAGGCGTTTTAGCAGAGCTCGTCTCTCCGGACTAACACTGGCTTTAATGAATCCACACACACACACTGACAGGCAGCTTTTTATCTGTCTGTAGACAAAACACACACACACACACACACACACACACGCACACCTGTGAAGCTATCCACACAGGTACGTTAGTAAAACACACAGAAAAAAAGCATGCCTTTCAGGACAAGCAGAGAACATGGACAACCTCAATGACCTGAGACACACACACACACACACACACACACACACACACACACACACACACTGTATGTCACTTTTGTGGGACTTCTCTAAATCTTCATCAGTAACCCTCACCTGTTCATCAGTGTGTGCCACAGAAGCTCGTCCACTGTGTCGATGTTGTTACTGTGTCCTTAGCTGGATCAGCTGTGATCACTTCCTGTTTGAACCCGTGGGTCTACAGTCACTGTGTTACTGAAGAAAACTTTCAAATGTGACGACTGTCGCCATGACGTCGAGGTTTTGAAGGGGCTTTTTTTCTGTCATATGTAAGTTGATTATTGACTCTTGCTCTGGTGGACTTCAGAGATCATGACGTCCTCAGGAAGTTTACATCTCGTGTCTCAGTCATGTGTACATCATTTGTGTATGTGGCCCAAACAGGAGCCTATAGAAACTCATGATGACCTCTGGCCCGTTAAGATGATGACGAGTCTGTAAGATGATTGATAAGACTATATTAAGTATTTATATTCTTACTTATATTTGACAGTTGAGCAGTGACAGGAAGAGCGGGAAGAGTGACACACACACACACACACACACAATTAATTAAACAAAGTCTTGGAGATGAGGAGAGACGAACTCCATGGAGCCCAGAGGTGTGGAAGCCTGAGAGTCGCTCCCAGTGAGCGACTCTCATTGGAATAAATGGGACGCCATCTTGGAACATGTGGAGTCCTCACATGACACAGACTTTATGTCCAAATAAGGTCGTTCCTCTCCTCATCATAGAGACGTTATGTCTTCCTAAAGAAAGACGCTCCGTGCTGTTTGTCTGCTGCATACCTTTCCTTGAATGTCTGCCTCTCCCTGCACATGCTTATCTATGGGACTTGGTTGCTATGGTTACTGCTGATGGGAGCGGGGCAGCCATACGTGGAGGTAAACAATGAAGCACTGCTACAGTAAAGGGCCTGAAACTGAGACCTAAAGACTCAGTGATGCAGCTGAGGTTCAGCATGTGAAGTTTCAGTTCCAGCTGTAAATGCAAAGGTGCAGTATCAGGAGGCGTGTAGAAAAACACAGTAGACATATATATACAGTATATATAATATATATATATATATATATATATACAGTATATACACACACATATAAAATACAGTAATGCTGCAGAGAAGACGCATCCAAACTGTTCTGCAGTCAGCCAGCAGAGGACGACAGAGGGACGTCTGTCCTACTGTTTACAGTCAAAATATAAAGTCCACCGAGTCTTACACACCTCTACTAACACACACACACACACACACAGTGTAACAAGCAGACAAAGCAAAGAGTGATATAAACACGGAGGGAGAGACGACGTCAAAGTTATGACATTGACCGAAAGAGAAAAGAGAGAGAGGAGCGGCGGAGGAAAAGAGGAGAGAAAAGAGGCCGAGAGACTTTAAAAGGGAATAGAGCTCCTTTAATCTACTGGTCTCTCTCCTGCAGCCTCGGGCGAGCCTCCAGCACTCCCTCTCTCTTTCTCTCTCTTCCTCTCCTCTCCTTCATTAGTGGCCAATCAGAGAGTGAGTGATTTAATGGAGGAGTAAGAGGAGAGGGGGTGACACGTAACCCTCACCTGCTAGACGAAGGAGAGACGGAGAGGGAGGCCGAGAGGACGGAGAGAGGCGGGACTGTGGTTCCTGTTGGTCTCTCCAGATCCAGTCCAGCCGTCACGTCTCATGTTTCTCATGTTTCTGCGCTCCACTTGTGCCTCACAGTACTTTAAAACTACATTTCCCAAGATGTGGAACTGTCTCTCAGCGGTTCTCTGGTTCTGTAGTTCTCTGGTTCTCTCTGGTTCTCTCTGACGGTCTGTTCCTCTGATGGAGGTCTGATGGACTGAGAGCAGAGATGTAAGAGTGTTTGCAGATACCAGTTCTCCTACAGCAGGTTCTCCTACAGCTGGTTCTCCTACAGCAGGTTCTTCTACAGCTGGTTCTCCTACAGCAGGTTCTCCTACAGCAGGTTCTCCTACAGCTGGTTCTCCTACAGCTGGTTCTCCTACAGCAGGTTCTCCTACAGTTGCTTCTCCTACAGCAGGTTCTCCTACAGTTGCTTCTCCTACAGCTGGTTCTCTTACAGTTGGTTCTCCTACAGCAGGTTCTCCTACAGCAGGTTCTCCTACAGCTGGTTCTCCTACAGCTGGTTCTCCTACAGCAGGTTCTCCTACAGCTGGTTCTCCTACAGCAGGTTCTCCTACAGCAGGTTCTCCTACAGCTGGTTCTTCTACAGCTGGTTCTCCTACAGCTGGTTCTCCTACAGCAGGTTCTCCTACAGCAGGTTCTCCTACAGCTGGTTCTTCTACAGCTGGTTCTCCTACAGCTGGTTCTCCTACAGCTGGTTCTCCTACAGCAGGTTCTCCTACAGCAGGTTCTCCCACAGCAGGTTCTCCTACAGCTGGTTCTCCTACAGCAGGTTCTCCTACAGCTGGTTCTCAGCCTGTGGCCATGAAGGTTTTGCAAGTGTGCCATCAAATCATTTGCAAAACAGAACAATTTCGTTCAATTAGATGTAATGAAAAATATAATGAAAATTTAAAATATAAATAATGTATTTGAATGTTTTGAAAATAAATTCTCTTTAAAAACATTAAACCTTGATGATAGGAACGGCCGAGCTTCCTGATGTTAAAGCTAAAAGTTGTGTAAGAATATTTATATCGGATATTATGGGATGTAAAGGGAGTTTAACACGGTGGGCAGAGACATGATGTGACGACCCTGAAGCTGTCACAAGCTTCATGTTCAGGTTCAGGTCACTGTCACTCTCAGTGAGAACAGCAGTACGTTTGTATTTACTGTCGTCACATGGAACAAACGCAGAGACGTGTGAAAGTAGCAGCAACTCAGTGTTTCATTTCTATTTCCTGTTTTTTAATTTTCCTTTTTCTTCCTCACAACACGGATCAATATAAAACATCGTTTATCTGTTAACTGCACATCAGACGGCAGATATAAATGTTCACAGCAGAGATTCCTCAGCTCAGAATTCGCCAGAAGGTCGTTGTCAATATTGATTATTGAGTCTTTTATTTATTTAATATTTGTTTTAAATGTGTCCTGAGGAATGAACGTCAGCTGACAGGATGTTTCATGCAGCACATTGTGCAGTCTGCTGGAGTCAGGAAGCCCTGTGTGTGTGTGTGTGTGTGTGTGTGTGTGTGTGTGTGTGTGTGTGTGTGTGTGTGTGTGTGTGTCCTCTTCCATTGGACATGCTGATACACTGAGCCGCTCTCTGAGGACCTGCAGTCATCTGAACAAGCAGCACTGCACCGCGCGCACGCGCGTGAGCGTGTGTGTGCGTGCGCATTCATTGTGTCGTTATTTACTCTGCCGTACAAACAAAGCAAGGTCACATTCAAGGTGACGTGATCTCACCATCTCTGCCTTAACATGCAAACAAGTTATTTTCCCCTCCATCTCTCTCTCTCTCTCTTTCTCCCCTCTCTCTCTCTCTCTGTCCCCCCCTCGTTTTCTCCCTCTCTCTCTCTCTGAACAGGCAAACAGAGAACGAATGAGCGCCGACCGCCCGACCAAAGTCAATTATAGCAGCCCTGGGGATGTCGTCTTAAACAATGCTATTAGTTTCTAATAGTTTTTAATTACTGGCCTTCTTTTTATATAAATCACCCTCTACTTTCTCTCTCTTTCTTCTCTGTCGTGGAAAAACCTATTTGTGGCCATAATTAAATGGAGGAGAGGGATATGAATTTAGTGGCCCTCGCTTCTCGTCGCTGACTGATTAATGCCAATACATATTGCTTGAGATAACCATTTAGTGGTTAATTTAGCCAAATTTATTGCCGGCGTGCCGTCGCAGGGCGGAGCAGGGGTGGGTGTGGGGGGTGGAGGCGGGTTGCCACCTCCTGAGGCTGGGGGCGCCTGTCGCAGTGACACAGCGCTATCTGGTGAAGAGCGGCAGGTACTGCAGCTCTCTCTCACATGTTGAAATCATCTTTTACTGAAGTTAAAGATGCAAAAACACACAACACACCGAAGGTAAAAACACATTTTAGAGATGGAAAACAATCACTGGTGTTCTGAAGTAAATATTATATATTATATATTTCACCACCCCCCCACACGACACGATCTCTGCTGGAGGTGTCAATGAGATGACAGAAAAAGATTCTCAGTCCATCAGACCTTCATCAGAGGAACAGACCGGCAGAGAGAACCAGAGGGAGACAGTTCCACATCTTGGGAATTGTAGTTTTAAACTACTGTGAGGCACAAATGGAGCGAAGAAACATGAGAAACATGAGACGAAATCAAAAATCAAAAGAAAGAAAAACGACCTAAAGTGTCATAAGTTCTATTAAATGAATAAGACGTGACATGATAGCATGAATCTACAATAAAATAGTGACATTGTGAAACTCAGCTCAGTATTATGAAATGTTATTCTTTCTTTTCACAATAAGAGTTTTTTAATTAAATCATTTTTATCCATTCCAGCAGCATACTGTATATTCAACTTTTTTTCATTCTGTCTTTATTTCACACCATTTTTCATCAAGACATTTTAACTTTTATCAGCAGAGACAAACAAACAAACGGAGACAGATCAGAGGACACAGTCTAACGAGCTACACCTGAGGACAGGTAACAGTTCCACGGTTGTTTAGAGTTTTTCGGTGGCGTCTTTCTGACAGTCTTTCTGAGACTTAAAGATAATAACTGTTTGAGCTGTCAGTTGTTTTTCCTGGGTTTTTAAGTTAGTTTTGAGCCAAGTTACTGCGACCAGAAGTCCTCGCTTTCATCATCATTAAAAAAACTTGAAGTTACCTGCCGCCAACATCCGAGTCAAACAGGACACGGACGGAGGAGCGTTACAGTAAGAGATCTGAGATCAGTCAGATGCTGACGTCTGTGCAGGAGCGTCGGCGGTTTGAGACGAATGAACAAGAACTGGTTAATTCATGGAAATGACAGACTGCATCACAGCGACTCTCCCAGTCCAGCAGGTGGATCCTCCGTGGTCCAACGTATCCCAAGATTCATTGCATTCGGTAATGAAAGCAAACATCACCAACAGAGAGTCTGAGCGCTACACTATTAATGTAAGTGTTGACGGTGAACACTGTTACAACCAAGAGACTGAAAACAAAACGCTTGAGTGAAAAAAAGTTGCATGTTGTCAAGGTTGCTAGGCGACAGAAGAGGCGCTTTGCGACACAACAGTAAGGGCGGGAAGAGCTGGTGACGTACAGCGTAAATCCTCCGTAGACCGTCTTTCAGTTCTTCGCGGCCTGCAAAGGGACCACACCTTCGAGGTCCACGTCCTACGGAGGATGCGGCCCCTGAACTGGGACTCAGCTGCAGTGACACTGGTCTTCCTCAGACATGCTAACGCGCTAACTGCTAACAGGCTATGGTGGAATATCATGAAGCGGGAGGTATGGGGTATCAAACATGTCAATAGTGTTTTTCAAAGCACATATTAAGATCCACATCCTGTCACAGTGTGAGTGTGTTCTCTCCAACTTATCACACACACACACACACACACACACAGAGGCTGGCAGTGTGTGTTGGTCTGATTAATGACGGCAGCAACAGAGCAGCTCTCAGCCAGCTGTCACATGACATCTGATGACTGCCTCTCTCTCTCCCCCTCTCCCTCTCTCTCTCTCTCTCAGTGATGAATAAGGGTCAGTGTGTGACAAAGTATTACCGGTGGATCCAGAAAAATGGCGGTTACATCTGGATCCAGTCCAGCGCCACCATCGCTGTCAACGCCAAGAACGCCAGCGAGAAGAACATCATCTGGGTCAACTACGTTCTCAGGTCAGAGGTCAACTGGTCATCATTGTCGTCATGGCGATGAAAGTTTCACTACATCTACACATTCCCAGAGTTTGTCTTTCATGAACAAAGACGTGACAAAACCAGATTAATTCATTTAAAAAAAAATGAAGAATTTATGCAAAAAGTTAAAAAGTTGAATATTAAATGGGAATTAAATAATACAACTGCACAAATGTATATTAAATACAAGGGAACTGTTTATGTGCAGAGCAGGTGCTTTTAATATGAGAGAGAAGAGGAAATAAATCTTTAATATTAGTTTAGTAAACTATTAGTTTATATATATTATTTATATAGTTTATAGCTCAGAGCCTCCTCTCTTCTGATTGGCTCACTGACCTGTTGTTACTAGAGCTCCAGAGAGAAGCCTGAGAGAGGAGATGTAAAACTATAATGTAACTAACTAATAGATCTTCTTATGGATCAAGACTTAAAACACAGAAGAAGAAGAAAATACTGTTTGCGACCTTTAAGTGAAAACAATTCTCTCACAGTCTAAATATCACACAACCAACTGAAACAAAAACCTTTCTGTGTCACTTCACAGTAATCCAGAGTATAAAGACACGCCCATGGATATCGCCCAGCTGCCAAACCTGCCCGAGAAAACCTCCGAATCCTCCGAAACCTCCGACTCCGAGTCCGAGTCCAAAGAAAACTCAGGTACGGAAGGGAGGATGGAGGAGTACTTACATCCGACATCCAAATAACCCTAATGTATTTTATCTTGCTTGGTTTTTCACTGTTTTATATAATATAAAGATGAAATGAGTCACGACATGTTGATAAAACTTGTATGATTCCAAGAACCTCTACAAGTGTTACCAGCAGAATAACCAGCACTGAGAGATACAGCCTGAATGAGAGAAGCCAAAGATATTTTATCAGCTGGTGCCAGTGTGCCGTCTGTGCCAGGCTGGGTGGAGATGGACGCCAACAGCTGCAGGGACTGAGCACTTCCTGGCACTGCTGCAAAACCACCACAAAATGACATAAAACATGGCATAACTCTACAGAATGCCACAAAATGCCCCCTCCTCCCTAAAAAGGCCACAAAGCACCAGAGAAAAGCCTCGGAAAAATGAACCAAAACACCAGAAAAAAGACGACAAGAGTCCAACACATGGTTCTCCTCAACATTTAATGTCTGTGAAGCCTGAAAAAGAAAATGATGCCAGTTCTTTTTGCTGCAGACGTAAAAACATCAGAAGGAAACGAAGCAGTGAAAGAGGAACAACATGTTTGGTCTCTGCTTCATCTGGTGTGTTTGTCAACTCTAATGTGAGCTACAAAGCTTAGCATGCTGTGCTAACTAGCTTACCATCAACAGAAGTAACTTGGTGTTACTTCAAGGCAAAGGAGCACATCATTAGTTAACTAAATTATATTTTATATCTACGTTATTTTGTGGAGTAGAACGTTATGTTGAAAAGAAAAGAAAAGGTGCAGGACTGAATCATCCACCGTGAGGGACTTGGTCCTACTCAGAGCTCAGGCTAACATTAGCTCATCCAGCCGTTTTTGTAGTGTCCTCAAAGCCTTTTCTTTTGCAACATAAAAAAACATACTGTCTGAAAATGCAAAACAACCTATCAATCCCATACTCGGGCCACATGCTCGTGTTTCTTCTGGCCCAGCACACGCCGGGTTCCACGGCCTGAGTCTGGCCCATAAACGCAGTGAGTGTCAGATCCTCCCTCCAGATCTGGACCAGTTCTGACGCACACAAAGAAAATCTCCTGGCCATCAGTCATCATCGTAGGATAACAGCCGTGGGCCGAAGATCCAGGCGTGTGTTGGGCCAGAAGCATCCGAATAGGGTGATGTCATGAATAAACAGTTCTTCATCACACTGACCTATAACACGAGGGCCTCATAGCTTTGGTCTGTAGTCCGTTTGTAAAGATCTTAGATACAGCCATCAGAAGCATTCAGGCTGTTCCGCGGGGTTCTCGGGTCAGCTGGAGACGAACGTTCAGCCACGCAGAGCTAATGTTAGCTAGCGAGCTTCAGCAGTGTCTGGCCACAGGGCCTGAGGGAGACACGGCCGTCTCTACTGTAGGTTACCAAACAACGACCAAGACAAAAGGTTAGTACAACTCAAAACAAGTGTTTCATTAATTCACTCATTAATTCTCAACAAGCTTTGACACCAAGTCGTGTTTTTAAGTTAAATTTTTTAGACAGTTTAGAAGATTAATTATTGGAAATAACAGAATTTGAATAATGAATGTAGACACATAATAAGTCTAATAAATCTCACCTGATGTGAGAATCCATGCAGACAACTAAATTAGATGTTTCTGGCGTCATTCAGATCTACAGACACAAATCAAGGATTAACTTTGTGTGTCACCAGCATTCAAGCAGCCAATACTGACGGAGACAAAGCTCACACAGTGCCAGTATAGTTAAATTTAAACCAATACCGGGCCTCCACCTTCAGCATAATATTATCAAGTCCTGCAGCCTGTGTTGGCATGATGAGAATCAGTGCCAGCTGTTACTCTTGCTGGAGGAGAACGATTCTGGCACGCTGTTGGCTGTAAACTGATGCCAGCTGCTACAGGAGGCGGCCAGCTTCAGCCGGGCTCCAACAGGCCCGAGGTGCTCAGGCTCGACGTATTCCTAAAATGAGATATCTGCCCTTTGACCTCTGTTCTGTTAGGATGACTAAAGGAGCCAAAACCAGCAATGGGTTTGTTTTTATTTGTTTTTATTTGTGCTATACAACATAATGTAATATAATTACATTGACATAATATGACATCGTCAAGAAATATATATATACAATATGTATATAATATAAATATATGTAATATTGTATATTATATTTACATTATTATCAAAAATCAATCAATCAATTTGTAGTCTGCCTCTAATTTGGTGACTGTGAAAACACAAAGGACAACGATGGAAATAAGAGCGGGAAAGTATTTGTTTTTGTTTTGTTCTACCTGACAGATCCTGATAAGTGGTATTTTATAAATTTTGCCCATAAACACCCCACCCCCCCCCCCCCCCAGCCTGAGAATAAACTTGTTTTGCTTGGAAACCACACTTAATGGAGATACAAGGTTTTCCCCAGACAGAACAATTGAGTCGACATTTCAGGTGCCATGGGGAGTCAGAGCGCTGCCAGCTGGACAGCCGCGGCCTCGGTGTGAGCTGGCAGGGTTTGAAGTGTGTGTGAGTGTGTGTGTGTGTGTGAGTGTGAGTGTGTGTGTGTGAGTGTGAGTGTGTGTGTGTGTGTGTGTGTGTGTGTGAGTGTGTGTGTGTGAGTGTGTGTGTGTGTGTGTGTGTGTGTGTGAGTGTGTGTGTGTGTGTGTGTGTGTGTGTGTGTGAGTGTGTGAGTGAGTGTGTGAGCGAGTGTGTGTGTGTGTGAGAGAGTGTGTGTGTGTGCGTGTGAGTGAGTGTGTGAGCGAGTGTGTGTGAGTGAGTATGTGAGTGAGTGTGTGAGTGAGTGTGTGTGTGTGAGTGAGTGTGTGTGTGTGAGTGAGTGTGTGTGTAGTAGACGGACATCACGGTTGGTGTGGTCCCATCACACAATGCTCTCTAGTAACCATATCATCTATTCGCCATTCAGAACCAAATACAGCATCCAGTGTCTTTGATCGTCTTCGATTTTCAGGTATTTGGTCATAAAGTAAAGTACGAGGCGGATTAATATTGTGACCTGATGGTGGAGCTGAAGTTGAAGCGTCACCAAAGTTACAATTAATCCTCAAGTCGAATGTCTGCAAACAAACAAACTCCATTGCAACCAACCAACAGCTGTCGAGACATGTCTCAGTGTGGAACAGAGAGGTTGGCCGATCTGTCCTCACCCTGAAGCCTACACACCCCTGTTGTCGAATGAATGAATGAATGAATGAATGAATGACAGAGTTACTCTCCAGGTTCACGTGCTGCTTCATGTAAAAGCTCATTTTTTTGTCTGTCCTGCTTGTTTAACCAACTTCATCCTCTCCACAGACAACGAGAACGCCAAGTCCGAGGGGAAGCCAGGCCACCAATCAGAGCGCAGCGAGGACCCGGAGACAGACAGCAAACGCCAGCAGCAACCCGGCCAATCGCATTGCTCCTCTGAACAGGAAATGAAACGTCAGGAAGAAGGAGACAGCTCGAGTAACCCTGAGAGCCAGGACAGCGACGACAGTCTGGAACCTTCAGATGGAGAGGGGGAGGAGCAGGAGGAGGCCAGGGGGGGAGGGGGAGGGGGACCAGCGGGGAGGCGAGGGTGAGGAGGAAGCGCTGGCAGGTTAGCAGGACTGGGAGGTTTAGGGGACTGGGCGCCATCGGAGGACTTGGTAAATCTGGGGCGGGCTCATATTAAAGTAGAGCACTATGGAGAGGGGGAAGACGTCAAGCCTGCACAACTCGCAGACGTCTTCATCGGAGGAGGACGAGGAGGAAGATGAGGATGAGGACGAGTGAGGAGAAGGAGGCGCGCAGGATTGCGATGGTGCTGGAAGCAAACTCCAGAAAGAGGCGGAAGAGGAGGAAAGTGCAGAAATGGGACGGGTCACGAAGTAGGAGCTCGCCTGTCCTCGCACCACGCCCAGCCCCGTCGCCATGAGATACCACACCACTGGTGGACCCCGCCCAGGCCACATTCCACCACCTCCTCCCACCTCCTCACACTCCTCCGGCTCCACCAAACAGCGCCGGGTGCAACGTCCTCGGTCCTAAAAGATCAAGGACTGAGATGGCAGAACCCATCAACTTTGACAACGACAGCAGCATCTGGAACTACCCCCCCAACAGAGAGACTCTCCAGGAACGAGTCTCCGTTACAGCATGACCTCCAAGCCGGCCGCTCCCGGACCCACGAGACCTTCCCCTCAACCCCAGGGAGGCTCTCTCCAGTGTCCATCCCGACTCTGTCCTCACCCCTCCTGGAACAGAGGGAGCGGCCGGGAGTGAGGAAGCTCCCTACAACGGAAGCTTCCGCCCCGTCCTCGGCTTCCAGTGCCGCCCAGTTTAGCTCTCCCTCCAGCGCCTCCTCTTGCTGACCCGCTGTCTCCTCCTCTCTCCGCCTCCCGCGGGACAAGCAACAAGGCACTCCCACCACCTCCTCTTCTTCTTCCTCATCATCGTCCTCCTCCTCTTCTCTCATCCACCTCTTCCTCTCACTGCTGTACTCTGGTGACCTGGAGGCTCTTCAGCGTCTGCACCACGGTACGTGGTGCTCCCGCGTGGTCCACCGGTCACGGGGACTCTGGCCCCCACCACACCACGGTGCTCCACGGGTG